AGGGGCAGTGCTTGTGGCTCAAAAGAGTAGGGCGCCAGCCCCATATGCCAGAGGCGGCGGGTTCAAAACCAGCCCCAGACAAAAACTGCAAAAAGAAAGAAGTATGGAGAACACTTAGGGAACTAAAAGTAGACCTGCTGTTCAATCCTGCAATTCCTCTACTAGTTATATATCCAGATGACCAAAAATCACTCTACAACAAAGACATTTGCACAAGAATGCTTTTTGCAGCCCAATTCATAATTGCCAAGTCATGGTAGTAGCCCAAGCACCTATTGACCCATGAATGGATTAACAAATTGTGGTATATATATATACCATGGATATGATACAGCCATTAAAAAGATGGAAATTTTACCTCTTTTGTGTTTATACAGATAGAGCTGGATCAAATTCTTCTTAGTAAAGTAACTCAAGAATGGAAAAAAATACCCTATGTACTCAATACTATTATGAAATCAATATGTAATCACCCACACTTTCATACGAAAGACAAAACACAATTGTAGCCCAAAAAGGAAAGAAGAGGAGGGCGAGGGGAAGGGAGGGGGTAGATGGGTGGGGAGACAGTAATCGGTGGGACCTTACCTACTGTGCATATTGCAAGGGTACATGTCAAATATACTAATAGTAGAGTATAAATGTCTAAACACAACAATTAAATAAGTGAGGTGAATGCTATGTTAACCAGTTAGATGTAAACATTCCAAATTGTATATAAAATCAGCATATTGTACCCCATAAATGCAGTAATATACAGTTATGATCTAATTTAAAAAATAAATAAATATTCACATATGGGAATAAAAATTCAAACCATACAGAAGGAAATAAAAGGAAAGGTTAAAAAAAAAATCCACACCACCATAACCAGCAAAGCCTATGTCCTAATTAAACACATCTATCTGCACTTTTAAGTAAACCTAAACACTAGCAAGATAATATGAGAAAAGATGAAACATCACTGGCTCGGCGCCTGTGGCTCAAGCAGCTAAGGCACCAGCCACATACACCTAAGGTGGCGGGTTCGAATCCCCAGCCTGGGCCCGCCAAAACAACAATGATGGCTGCAACCAAAAAAATGTCTGGGCGTTGTGGCGGGCGCCTGTAGTGCCAGGCGCCTGTAGTGCCAGGCGCCTGTAGTGCCAGCTACTTGGGAGGCTGAGGCAGGAGACTCGCTTGAGCCCAGGAGCTGGAGGTTGTTGTGAGCTGTGATGCCATGGCACTCCACCGAGGGGGATAGCTTGAGGCTCTGTCTCAAAAAAAAAAAAAGATGAAACATCACTCACCTTGAACACTTCAGAGAAGAAGCCAGACCCTATTTTTTCACAGGTAAAATCATCCAAACGTGTCAGTCTGGAAAAGGCACTTATAAGAGCTCGATATGAAGATGGCCAAACTCTTCCCACCTGGGTCGCAGTCCCATCCCCTCCACCACCTCCTTCAAATTCTTCAAGACGCTCCACTCGTGGAGGAAATCCTGCAATTGAATTCCGTTTGCTCCGATCCATAGTCTCAATAATCACTTTTTTCTTCTTTTAAGAGAGAACTCCACATATAAATTTTTGTTGAATTTTACTTCTCTTCTGGTTTGACACTAAACAAGAAATCAAAAAAATATTTCTTAAAGTCATTAGTGAATTAATACATGCAAGGCAATGAACAAACACAAAAGTACTTCTTTTCACAGTCTAACTTCTGGTTTTCAGGCCTCAAAAATACTTTATGCCTTCATCCTCAAATAAAACTGATATATTTAAAGTCCAAAATGTAGTCAGTCTTTAACATGAGTATAAAATCATCAGATAAGAAAAATGAGATCTATTACATTCTAAGTAACAAAATAACAATCATTAATACCTACTATTCACTGAGCACTTATTTCCAAGAAACACAGTATTAGATCTGACATATGTCATTTGATTTTCAAATAATCCATGATATAAGGATTATTATGCTCATTTCACACAGAGAACATGCAATCAAGTCACTAAATGGCTGAGATTAAACTATTAATACAAAGCTGTCTGTTTCAAAATCCTGTGTACTTATCAATGCCCTTTAGAACCTCATAAAATTTTCTCTTTACCTGAAAAATTATTAAGTCGAAATATATAGAGCAGAGATGACAAGGAGGCCTCAAAATTATACATTATATAATTTTACAGGGTTTTGTTTGTTTTGAGACAGGGTCTCACTCTGTTGCCTTGGCTATAGTGTACTGGTACCATCACTGCAACCTCAAACTCCTGAGTTGAAGTGATCCTCCTGCCTCATCCTCCCAAGTAACGGGATCTATACTCTACAGACATGTGCCACCACACTCCGCTAATTTTTTTACTTTGGGGTACAGATGGGAGTCTAGTCTTGAACTCCGAGCCTCAAGTGATCCTCCTACATGGCTTCCCAAAGTGCTAAGATTACAAACCATGACCAGTCTATGTATATAACTATTTTTTTTTTTGGTAGAGACAGAGTTTTACTTTATCACTCTCAGTAGAGTGCTGTGGCATCACACAGCTCACAGCAACCTCCAACTCCTGGGCTTAGGTGATTCTCTTGCCTTAGCCTCCCAAGTAGCTGGGACTACAGTGTCCTGCCACAACGTCTGGCTATTTTTTTATTGCAGTTTGGCTGGGGCTGGGTTTAAACCCGCCACCCTCGGTATATGGAGCTGGCGCCCTACCCATTGAGCCACAGGCGCCACTCTATAATTTTTTTTTTTTGAGACAGACTCTCACTCTGTCACTCTCTATAGAGTGTTGTGGCATCATGAAAGCTTACAGCAACCTCAATCTCTTAGGCTCCGGCAATCTTCCTGCCTTAGCCTCCTGAGTAGCTGGGACTACAGGCACCCACCACGACAACCTGCTAGTTTTTCTGTTTTTAGTAGAAAGGGGATCCCACTCTTGCTCAGGCTGGTTTTAAACTCTTTAGCTCAAGCAATCCACCTGCCTTGGCATCCTAGAGTGCTAGAATTACAGGTGTTGAGCCACCACACCCAGCCCAGACTCGCTTGAGCCCAGGAGTTGGAGGTTGCTGTGAGCGTGATGCCATAGCACTCTACCCAGGGGGATAGCTTGAGGCTCTGTCTCAAAAAAAAAAAAAAAAGAAAATTAGGTCAACTTTAGGAGGTGGTCAATATAGGGAGTTTGTCAACTATGGAGGTTCTACTTTATTTGCTAACTTTATTTTTTGTTTATTAATATTTGTAAATTCTAGATAGTATTTATTATATTGTACTCTTACCTGTATTTAATTTTTTTTTTTTTTTGAGACAAAGTCTCACTTTGTCACCCTTAGTAGGCTGCCATGGATGGCATCACAGCTCACAGCAACCTCAAACTCATGGGCTTAAACAATTCTCTTGCCTCAGCCTCCCAAGTAGCTGGTACTATAGGTGCCTACCAAAATGCCTGGCTATTTTTTAGAGATGGGGGTCTTGCTCTTGCTCAGGCTGGTCTCAAACTTGTGAGCTCAGACAATCCACCTGCCTTGGCCTCCCAATGTGCTGGGATTACTGGCATGAGCCACGCGCCCAGCCTAAATTTTTTTTAATTTAAAAAAAGTTCAATGTGCTTTTTTAAAGTCTATATTGCTAGTACAATAGCTATGCAATATGCTTAGGCCAAGAAAATTGAAAACGATTTGGCAAATAAATAGCATCCCAGTGTGCAAGCCAAGCCTCCAGATTCTCAAACTTTTATTCTGTAAAAGCTCCACTATAGTTTGTGGCCCAAGGAGTATTTTATATCTTAGGCTAAAATTTCAAAAACATTAGGTGAATTTTTAGATAGCCTAACTTAGTCAAGCCCACAAACTTAAAATACAGAAGGACTCATAAATACTTGATATTTAGTGATATCACTTGATAAAGTGATACTATTACATAGCTAAGATGAATGGTAAGAAGTAAAGTCCCCTTCATGGGAATAAGAACTGTATTAATCCAATTTGGAGAAGTGTTCAGAAAGGGAAAACCTATTTCCAAACCATGCTTTCTGCTCCCTTGCCCAGAATACTAAATGACCACATTTTAAATAAAATCAACCAAACTATAAATGACTGTCAATTTAGTCTGAAAAAATTAACTAATAAAAGGCAGCAAATACAAAGAGATTCTAAAACCATGCTCAATCTCTTAAAATCTGAAAATTATTATTTTTAAAATAAGGAAACATGTTATTTGCAATGTGACATTTTATAATGGTTTCTGCCTCTGGATTCTCTCTCCTCATGGAACAAATAATAGTGTTAATAGTACTACTGATACTAAGAGTACCCCCTCAAAGTATACATTATTTTTGGAATAGAGATAACTACAGTTACCCTCACATTTACTAGAAAGATAAAGGAGCTATTATCACAATGGAGGGTATGTGGGATGGGCACTCCTGGCATTTTAGTGGGCAGGAGCTATAGAAACTAAAAATCCTACAAAGCAGAAAAAGTCTCGCACAACCAAGAATTGTCCTGCTGTAAATGTCAATATATTTCCCAGTTGAGAAATACTGCATTAGAAAAGGGTAATCACTTTTATTCCTAAACTAAGAAATACCCTTTAGCAGTCTTTCAAAAATTCCAAAATTATGTGGCTTACAAGGACATAAGTAGTTTTTTAGTAACTGTGTTCTCAACTTCAATATTGTAAACTTGGAAGCTTAAAGCTTTTCTTTCTTTTCTACATAGGTAGGTTTGTCTTTT